CACCTCACTGTGGGGTTTCAGGTGTAAAATGTGCTGCCACCTGGATTCATGGCCCTCTACCGGTGATGTGTCACTTCTCTCTGGATATTTATATGATTTTTTTCTTTGTCTTTTGTCTTCAGTGTTTGTATAATGGTGTGTCTTGTTGTGGATTGGTTTGTCTAATTCTGGACTTGCTCAGCTTCTTAAAGCTGCATGTTATGATAAAAGTGGGACATTTGGAGACATTATTATTTGATTGCTTTTTCAGCACCATATTCTCTTTGTCCCCTTCGGTGAGGCTGGTGATGTGAACACTGGTCTTTGTTTTCCTGCATACTCCTGAGCCATGCTCCTTGTCTTCTAGGCTCCTCTCTGTTTTTCAGAATGAGTAAATTCCCTCACATCTTCAAGCGGAGCCACTCCCTTTCTGCATCTCCACCCCTTCACAAGTCCATCCGCAGGGCTCTAAGTTTGCTTACTGTAATTTTTCAGTGCTATAATTTTACTCTGTTCTTTTCATTAAAAATAAACTCGTGAACATGCCTTGCTGAGATCTCCTATTTCTGCATTTGTTGCAGGATGGTTTGTAATGGTGAGGGGAGGCCCTCTGAGCACGAGGCTCTGTGACCCCTCCTGGATGTTGTGACATCTGATTCATCTTGGCACTGATGTCCCCTCATTGCTTTTTCTCAGATTCTGATTTTCCTCATTCTTGGTTTGAGGCATGATCTTAGGTTCTATCCTGGGCATTTTAGTGCTTATATTAGGCTACTCTGACTCCTATTGTGGTCCTTTTAGGAGGTAGTGACCTTTATAGGTTAAGCTGTATGTCTGGGTTGTGCTTCCAAAGACATTGGGACTCATTATATAGCCCAGGCTGGCCTCTAATTTGCAGCAATCCTCCTGCCTCAGCCTCCTGAGGGCTAGGATTACAGGTGTGAGCCACCACACCTGGCCCCAAGACAGTTTTGTTCCAGTCCTGCCACACTGTCCTGATGGTGCTGCCAGGGAGAGTGGCGGCCCTTCCCCTGGACCCGGGCTCCATAACCATTCGTGGAGGGGTACAAAATCCATGACCACCGGGAATGGCCCGGCCCTCCTTGCCACAGAGTTCTAGCTCTGCCAGCTTCCTGTTTCCCCGTCCTTCAGATAGAGAACAGCTTCTGTCATGGTTCCGTTGTCATCTTGTCTGTCCTCTAGGGAGTTGGGTGGCTGAGCTCTCTCTCCCAGTCACGCATGGTAAGGAGACGGCCCAGGGGCTGTGCCAGTCTGCCTCCTTCCTGGCTGCAGAATGGCTTTCTGGCATCTGTTGGATGATGCCCAAGGAAGGGGGTCTGGTGAAAGTGCATCTGGATCACCTTGGTCTGGCCATAGAATCCAATTAGCAGAGATTTCACCATCATATTTTCTTTATGGAGCTAGGAGCCAGCTGTGTCATCCCTGCACTCTGAGAGGCTGAGGCAAGAGGATCACAAGTTTGATCCCATCTTGGGCAATTTAGTGAGAGCCTGTCTCAAAATAAAAAAACAAAAAGGGCTGAGAATGTAGCTCAGTGTGAAAGGCCTGGGTTCAATACCCAGTACCGCGGGGGAAAAAAAAAAATCCACAAACCAAAAAATTCCTAGAAGCCACCAGCATTCCTCACAAAGGCCCTGGGGCCTTAAGCAAGGGCTACTGGAAAGCAGGCAGAGGGAGTATGTGGCCCAGGGGAGGCAGGAAGCCCTGGAATGGAAGCCACACGATTCCAGGTACTAGAACCCACGGGAGACACAGAGGCTCGAGGCTGGTGGAGAAGGATGAGAAAAGGAAAGGGAGGACAAGGTGACGCTGTCACCTCCCTGCAGCCCAGCCTGGCTGCTGGTCCCCTGGGGGATCAGAGGCCCTGAATGGGAAGGGACAGCGGTCCCCTGGGTGGTGCAGGAGGGAGCAGAGGGACACAGGAGGTGGCCACTCTCAGCTGTTCCTATCCGGGGATAAAAATACCATCGTGCAAAATCAGCTGCTGATCTTGTTGCTAGGTAGAGTTCAGCCCCAAGTTGCTGTTTTATGCTAAGTTTGGTGGAACAGTTTTGCTTGGGAATCAGAGACACAGCCCTGTGTTCGGTCCCTGTGGGAGGCAGGCCTGTCACTGGCGGCTTCCAGGGGGACATGGGGTTGTCACCTCCCCGCCTGGTCAGCCTGGCATTGAGAACAAGAGACACATGTGTCCCTCCAGGTACAAAGGGGTAGATGGGGCGGTGGGACAAGGCCCCGCTCCCCAGAGGGCCGGGCGTGGGCACTGGCCAGGGCAGGGTGGTGCAGGGTGGTCCTGCAGGGAGCATCTAGTGTCTCTGTGTCCCTGGCAGAGGTCCTCAGCCAAGGGACCAGGCATCAGGCAGTTCTGGACACCACCGGGGGGAACTTCCAGGGACATACGGCCTGCCCTGCTCCACTGTCACCAGATGTATGCATGGCGGACCCTAAGGGGACTCTGGGGCAGGGACAGATGGTGCCTGGAATGCTGGGGGCTGTGTGAGGATGGAGAGGGACACAGGGGCCTGCTCATGGTGACCCCAGCATCTGTGCTTAAACCTCTGGCTCTGCAGCCTGCAGTGGTGGCCGAGTTGGGCGGGGCTGTAGAAGGCAAGGCACCTAGAACGGGCCAGGCCCCGGGACCACGGAGACATTGGAGGCTCTGTGTGTGTGGTGCTGGGACAGAACCCAGGGCCTCAGTGCCAGGTAAGCGCTCCACCCCTGAGCCGCACCCCCAGTCCTTTTAAATTTTGCTTTGAGATGGTCTCAATAAGTCACTCAGGCTGGTCTTGAACTCATGAGACGCCTGCCTCAGCCTCCTGAGTAGCTGGGATGACAGGAGTGTGTGCCCTGTTGTTCTTCTCAGTTCTCCCTGCTCTTTCACCCTCATTTTCTGGGCTACCCTGGTGGAGGCAGGATGCAGAGAGAGCTCATGGGCCGGGCCTTAGGAGGGGAAATCACGAAGAGGCCTCAGCTCCCACCCTGGCCATGGTTGGTCCCCAGGGACCCACCAAGGTTCTTCACAGCTGCCCCAGTAGTTCCCAGGAGGGTGCTGATTTCCTTGCTCCAGCCCTTTCCCCCTCCAAGTGCAGGAACACAGCGGGTTCCCCATGGTTCTTGGTGCTGGGAAACCATGCTGCGCTTCAGAGAGAACTTTTGATTCCCTCTACTTCTAACCCCTACTACCCACAAAGAGGCTTCATGCCAGGGACACCTGGGTCCAACCCTCCCACAGAGAGGAAACACTAGTGAGGAGCCTGGCCTCATCTTGGTCTTTGGGCTACCAGTGTTCCTGCCCTTTCCTCAGAGATCCCATCTACTTCCAAGACATGCAAGTACCTGCAGTGCCCATGTTGCTCTTGCGATTGATTTGCCAGGATTAAAGAGACAGCGGTAGTACCTTGGCCTGGGACTGAGGTGGGGAAAGGTTTATGAGAGAAGACCTTTCTTTCTTTCTTTTTTGAAAAAAATTATTTTGTTTTGTTTTTTGGGTACTGGGGATTGAACTCAGGACCTTGTGCTTGTGAGGCAGGTGTGGGGCCACTGAGCTAAATCCCTGGCCCTGAAGACCCTTTATTTCTGAAAACACAACACTGTGGAGTAATCTAGAGTCGACCTTGGCACCACAGGGCCTGCCGCGTGGGAGGCCCGGGCAGCTGTCGCCTCACTGAGGCGCGAGGCAGGGCTGCTCGGCCTGTCCTCCCTCGTATAGGCCACCAGCTGTTCCCTTTGTTTGTTCTCTTTAATAACAGCTTTATTGAGGTATAATTCACACAGTATAAAATTTGCCCTTTGGCGTGAGCAATTCACACGGTTACAGCCCTCACCACCATCTAAGTTTAGAATATTTTCCTCACTCCAGAAAGAACGCTGTGCCCCCGGCCAGCAGTGTCCCGTCCTCCCACCCCAGCCAGTCACTAATCTGACCCATCCAGGGATTCTGAGAAGGAGGCTCCACACCGGCTCCTACCCACAGAAAATTCCCTCCAAAGAATCAGTAACCTACACCTGAAAGCCGCAACCCTAAAACTCCTTGAGCAAAGCACAGGTGTGATCTTCATGGCCTTGGATTTGACAGTGGTTTTTTGGGCAAGCCAACAAAGCACGGACAACAATTTTTTTAAAAAATAGGTTAAATGGTGTTTACTGAAATTAGAAGAAAAAGCTTCAGGGCCTCAAAATACATTATCAAGCCAAGGATGGTGGTGAAGACCTGTGGATCCCAGCACTCCGGGAAGCTGAAGCTGGAGGATCTCAAGTTTGAGCCCAGTCTGGGCAACTTAGGAATTTAGCAAGACCTAGTCTCAAAATAAATAAATACATTAATAATAATAATAATAATAAGAAGAAGAAGAAGAAGAAGAAGAAGAAGAAGAAGAAGAAGGAGAAGAAGGAGAAGAAGAAGAAGAAGGAAGAA